GATCTTCAAGCAGTACAGGATGCTCGGCCTTTCGGAATGGCATTGTTGGATTGGCCAGTGGACTATAAGCCGTTATGACGATACCAGCTTTTGCGCAAAAACTACGAAGTTTTCGTTGCTGGTGATATGGATGAAGTTCGACCTGGACAAACGATAAGTTAAATAAGAAGTTGGTAGAATATTCAAACATTCCTGTTCCTTCCCCTACTTTGAATTTGATCGTCGTGGCTTTTGTTATCCCCTCCCCCACGCCCCTCAGTCCCGTCAATTCTTCATTATCAGCTAAACGACAAGGAATGGAACAAAACTAGGAGGAAAAGTGTATTTACTTGTAAAACAGCTGGCTTCATATTTCCATTATCCATAATTCGTTGAATCTGTTTATGATTGAAGTTGGATAGGCCAATGGAGCGAACTTTTCCTTTCGCAACGTAGTCCTCCATAGCAAGCCACGTTTCTAAGTAATCAATATTCGAATATCTGAATTTCTTACCATCAGCAGCCTGAAATTTGCACACCATAAAAATGATAAACATCAAAATCCGCAATGGAAAAATGTAAAACGTAAAGACATCATAATCTTTGAAGCGCTAAAAAATAGCCCGATTAGATGTAAACTGCCACAAATTGCCACTTTTCGGTATAAATAACGACGACTATTTCACCAAAAGATTGCCTCAAAACACACTGACGGTAGTTGCCTTCCACAGAATAGCACTAATTTATCTCCAAAACGAAACAATGTCGTACAGAAATGACCTGTTCTAACAGCAGAATTGAACCACTGACGTAAGTATGACTGTCCAAATCGCCCCTGCACCATTTCTATCAACTTTCAGCTCTTCGTTCAAATTTCTTTTAAAAAAAGCCAAAAAACTCGATTGTTCTGAACTAAACCCACACAACCTTTTTGCAAGAAAATTTCAAAAAAAACGCGCCAAAATTAGTAAAAAAAAAAAAGAATATTTCCAATTTTCAGCCAATACTGAAGAACTGATCAGGATCAAACGGACTAGCACAGTTGCGTTGGACGCGCTGGAACATACTTGTTACATCACTAACATGGGATACCCAAACTAACTGCTCGAATTTGGATGCGGTATTTTTCGTAAATGAATTTAACCGCTTTACGCAGAAGGCGGTTAAATTCAGTTACGGCACATCTTTATCTAAGTTCCTAGGGAATATGGATGTGAATTGGAGGGGAAAAAAAACAACCTTAGGATAAAAATCACTGCCTTCTTCATATCCATGAGGCCAGTGAATGAGGCACAAATCAAGATAATCGAGGCGTAGCTCACTGAGAATCATATCCATTCCCTTCTTGGCCATTTGATAAGAATGAAAAGTGTTCCAGATCTTTGATGTAATGAATATATTTTGTCGCTGCAAAACTCCTATCGAATTACAGGCAAAAAATAAATAAATTTTTCGCGTGAAAGTGTCAAATTCACTTCCTTCGTTTTTCTTTTCCCTTCTTCATTTTTCCAATTCCATCATTTTCTACCTTATCCTTTAATTTGCCAATCTCAAAATTTGAGTCAAAACGCTCTCGGACGAAAAAAATGAAGTACAACAAATTTGTGCCAAAAAAAACCTTACCTTGATTTTGCCTTCGCTGAAAATATCGGCCAATGCGTCGCCAATTTCCACCTGATTCCTATAGGCATGTGCACAATCGATGTGCTCATAGCCGTTGTT